CTACCAGAGCCCTGGGACAGGCTGCCCAGAGAGGCTGTGGAGTTTCCTTCACTGGAGACATTCAAAACCTGCCTGGACACATTCCTGTGTGATATGCTCTGAGTGATCCTTCTCTGGCAGGGGGATTGGACTGGATGGTCTTTCCAGGTCCCTTCCAACCCCTAGGATTCTGTGATACAGGACATGCTCTAGTGGGCATGGTGGGTGTTGTGGTGTTGTTTGTTTGGTGCTTTGGTGTGGGGGTTTTCGGGGTTAGTTTGATTGTTTTTTCCCTCCTGGCCGGATGGTTGGAGTGTGTGATCTTACAGATCTTTCCCAGCTGCAACAGTTCTGTGCTGCTGTGCCAGTAGTTGTGCAAGGTGAGGTAACAACTGCCAGACACTTCCCATTCCATTTTCCTCAGGTACTGCAGGAGTTCCAGTCTTTATCCCAGCAGGCAGGGATGTAACCAGCAAAGCTTGGCAGTATGGGGGCAGCGTTGGCAGTCAGAAAGAATTTCTTTTAACCTTCCCTGATTTAAAATAATAAAAAAGCTTTAAGAAAACAAACAGAATCTTGCTCTACCCCTTCACTGCTTTTCCGGAGCTCTGCTGCAGCTCTGCTCCAAGGGGCTGCCTGAGGTGGGTTGTATCCACTTTGGAGGATGTTTGCACCATCCCAAATGCCTGCAGAGCAGCTTGGGTACTCTGAGCAGTACATAAATGATAATATTTAATTTCATTTCATTATCACCAAACACTTCTATTGAATCAATGCCTTCCAAAGCAAGCTCAACAAGGAGAGAGCTGGCATGTGTATCTGTGAGCAGCCAGATCTGTTCTCTGTGGGAGGATGCCTCTAGGATACAGGAAAATTTAATTTGACAGCAGCACCACAACCACTTAGATTCAGCAGTTTGCAGGAAAGATCTCACCTGAGAGAATTCTTTTAAACGTGGCATGAAAATCCCATGTATACAGAAAGAAGAATTTAGTCTCAGTCATTTCAAATGGTGCCTAGAGAACAGCCTTACTCTGTGGATCTCGTTTTGGGACTCACTAGGTTAGACTTTCCTAACCTAATGTTGGGTATCAACTGAGTAGTTGCCTACTAGTAATTAGTCAGCCTGGCTCTGCACAGTCAGAGGAAGGGAAAAAGCACTTCTAGGGCACAGTTCAACTGTCCTATTTTAAGCACAACTAGGGGAAAAATGAGTGATGCCTTACAAGCACCTCCTCTCTCCTGCAGGAGCCCAGAACACCAGCTCAGATATAGGCATCATTACTGTAAATCATGGCATCAAGGAATGGTTTGGGTTGGAAGATCATCCAGTCCCAACCCCCCTGCATGGGCAGGGACACCCCCCACCAGCCCAGGCTGCTCCAAGCCCCATCCAACCTGCCCTTCAACACTGCCAGGGATGGGGCAGCCACAGCTTCTCTGGGCAACCTGGGCCAGGCTCTCACCACCCTCACACCAAAGAATTTCTTCCTAACATCTAAATTAAATATCACCACTTCCAATTTAAACCATCACCTCATCCTCATGTCTCACCTCAATCTCCCCTCTTCCAGCTTCCATCCATCCCCCTCATCCCATCCCTCCCTGCCCTTGTCCCAAGTCCCTCCCCAGCTTTCCTGGAGCCCCTTCAGGCACTGGAAGCTGCTCTAAGGTCTCCCTGGAGCCTTCTCTTCTCCAGGCTGAACACCCCAACTCTCCCAGCCTGGCTCCAGAGCAGAGCTGCTCCAGCCCTCCCAGCATCTCCAGGGCCTCCTCTGGAGACTCTCTCCATATCTGGGATGTTCCACAGACCTTTCTCTGTGCATTTCACAACAGACAAAAGGCACATCACCGGGACTAAACTTAGCAACAGGCTCATCTTTAAGTCTCTTCAAGTCTCTTTAAGTCTCTTCTTTAAGTCTCTTGAAGTTTTTTTTTCAAGTCCAAATCAAGAGTGCTGTGCTGAGCTAGAACTAGAAAGAAGGATGCCTGGGTACACATCTCTGCAGTCACTGTTGCATCTTTGCTCATGGACAGTCACAGTTTTATCTGATTTACCCCTTCATCAACACACAAAACCAGAAGCTTTATAAGACAAACCACATCTGATCCATAGTTCATATAGCCCATCATATTATCCTGGCCACTCCTGAACACAAGATGCTTCAGAAGATACTGCTAGAAATTCTGCATAGGTAGGTAAGGAATAATCTGCCATAAATACTGGATTTCCTTTCCTATCATTTTGTCACACCCAAAGGCTGAAGTTTGAACACAGAAGGCATCTCCCAAATGCTTCCCAATCTCCTTGGTTTTGTCTATGCACTCTTGAAGCATTGCTAACTTTTTCACCTCAGTGACCACTGTGACTGAAAGCTACAAAAACCAGGACTGGAATTCCTGAGGTTTATGTTTAAGGGCCCATAGAGCAGAATCCCAGACTGGCTTGGGATTGGACGGCAAGGGATGTAAAAGATCATCTAGTTCCAATCCCCTGCCACAGGGACACCTCCCACCAGACCAGGCTGCTCAAAGCCACCAAGGTTAGTGGCTCCCTCTCCCACACGGGGACACCATCGTCACATTCCATAATGGTGATGTTGCTACCACCCTCTTCTCCCCATCCAAGAAGGATTTCCTCACCTAGGTGGAGGAACAGAGCCCAGTACCAACAGCCAACACCCAAAAAGCCACGAGGAGATGACTTACCGAAATGCTCTGTTCATCATCTCGTAGTGAAAGTGCTCAGGAGCCAGTCCAACCACCACCGCGTTGGGTTCCTCGGTGGCTATCCCTGGAAAACCAAAACATGACACTGGGCAAGGGGAATTTTACTCATACTTAGCACTACAAAGTCAACAAGAGCAACGCATCACTTTGCAGCAAAAAGGAGCATTTTCTGACACAAACGTGTCACACAGACTAGTCTGATGTCTTTTAGAAAGAGGGAACAGGTGTTGCTCCACCCAGACTCCTCCACCTTCACAAAATGCCGCAGCTGGACAGTCCCACCAGCAGCTGCTGCCCAGGGATCCTCTCCCTGCCCAGCAGGAACTGCTTTCATTGAATGACTCGTTGCTGGCTCAGAATCTCCTTCTCTGATTCATCTGCTTTGTAAGACAGTGAAACGGGAAGACAAGTGAATCCCATCTGGTTTATTTTAATAGAATCCCAGACTGGTTTGGGTTGGAAGGGACCTTCAAGATCATCCAGATCCAACACCCTGCATGGGCAGGGACACCTCCCACCAGCCCAGGTTGCTCCAAGCCCCATCCAACCTGCCCTTCAACACTGCCAGGGATGGGGCAGCCACAGCTTCTCTGGGAAACCTGGGCCAGGGTCTCACCACCCTCACACCAAAGAATTTCCTCCTCATGTCTCACCTCAATCTCCCTCTTCCAGTTTTAATCCACCTCTTGTCCTCTTGATACAAGCTCTTTCCCCCAGCCCCTCCCCAGCTCTCCTGGAGCCCCTTCAGGCACTGGAAGCTGCTCTAAGGTCTCCCTGGAGCCTTCTCTTCTCCAGGCTGAACACCCCAACTCTCCCAGCCTGGCTCCAGAGCAGAGCTGCTCCAGCCCTCTCATCAACTCTGTGGCCTCCTTTGGACTCTCTCCAGAAGCTCCATGTCCTTCTTCTGTTGGGTGCTGCAGAACTGAACACACTACTGACCATGGGGTCTCACAAGAGCAGAGGGGAATGGATTAAAACTGGTACAGGGGAGATTGAGATGAGCTATTAGGAAGAAATTCTTTGCTGTGAGGGCGGTGAGACCCTGGCCCAGGTTGCCCAGAGAAGCTGTGGCTGCCCCATCCCTGGCAGTGTTGAAGGGCAGGTTGGATGGGGCTTGGAGCAGCCTGGGCTGGTGGGAGGTGTCCTGGCCCATGCTGGGGAGTTGAAGATGATCTTCAAGTCCCTTCCTACACCAGCCATTCTGTGATTCCCAAGAACATAAATACAGGATATTCCTGAGGGTGTACTTCTCTGGATACAGATTAGGAAAAGGTATTATCAGGTTTCATAGCCCTTGGAGCCCACAGAGGCTTTTCTCCTGAACACTTGACCTTTCTGAAGGTCACTGGCTATACTATGGCATTAAAATGTACCAGGAAATGTCCAACTCCTAGCTAGATTAAACCCTCCTTAAATTACACAGCCATGAGGGTTTCAGTTCAGAAGGCAAGAGGCAGGGAGCAGTGACAAACCATCCACCTTTCTCCTGCCCTGCCTTTAAGTGGAAGACTGAATATACAGTTTTCAGCTCCGAATATGTTAAAAAATACGGTTATCTTCAGTACTCTTGAAACAATGATGTGGTTCAGTCAACAACTTAACCTGTCCTAGCTTCAGACATCTGCCAGACATGTCCAGGTTAACACAGATAATCTTCTACTCCTCTTAGTGTTGAGGGAGGGAAATGGGAACAGGTCAAAGTACAGCAAGTTTTAACCAGGTCTTTAGAGATGACAACCTAGGTGATGAACCTGTCACCAATTAAGCTATTAAAGTACAGAGAGTGAGACTTAGATGTTTGATACAAGGTAAGTAACAGTAACTACCTGGAGATTTTACATTAAACAAGAATCTATTAAGACAGAAGAAGCCTCCTGCAGGTGCCTCCACACTGACTTTTCAGCTCTTTACAAGCAAAACCTCGGTACAGTAGCTGAGGGAAACCTGATTTCCAACTAATTGATACATCCTTGCTATAAAACAAACCAGCACTGGTAGGTGCAATACATCTCCAATGATCTAGTGATAAGTATTACTTTTTTTTTACTTTGGAAATTAATAAAAAGTATGGACTTTTATTCAAATTTCTGATTATCTGGAGGCTTTGGCTGTCACTTCCACTATTCCAAAAGAAGCTATGACTTCAGACTGTTTCATGTTAATTTAAATAAAATAATAAAAAGGACCTTTCTGACTCTGGGAAGCCCCATATTTCAGGCTTCATCACACCTAATGGTACACGTATATGATTGGCATTCTCCAAATGGAGAGCACTTTGTTTCTTTAGCTGTCCAGTAACTTCTCCCACCTCACCTGTGAAATCAGGCAGGGCCTTCTCATCTACCAGAAGTAAAGGCCTCATCTGCTTTTGCTCCAGAAGATTTCTGGCTGCTGTCAGAGAGGTGAAGATCTCATTCTCTGCAATGTCAAATCCCAGGCTGGTCAGCCTCTCCAGCAGGTCTCTCTTGCACTCCTTTGTAGTGTTTGTCACAAACCGAATGGTGACAGGAGCGCGGCGCAGCCTGAGGGAGGAGGAACAAAGGTCAACTGGCCACAGTGTCCTGCTGCTGGCATCTCCTGGGAACTGAAAATGGACCATCTGGGTAAAAGCTGCAGATGAAAAGACTGTATATGTCCCAGAGCACTGGTATTACACAAAAAGCCACCAGGTTGGTAACTACTGTAGACTGGAGGGCAGTGTGTAACAGACAGCGAGAACTGCAAGTACCAGGGGATCGAGCTTCCCCTGCTCTGCATCCAACAGGAGAAGGCAGGAGGGAAATGGTGACTCCACACTCCATCTTCATACTAGTAACCAACAAATTTATAGAATCATAGAATCGTTTGGGTTGGAAATGACCTTTAAGATCACCCAGTTCAACCACTCCCCCAGCCCTGCCAAGGCCAGCCCTGCCCCATGTCACTCAGCACCACATCTACACGGCTTGGAAACCCCTCCAGGGATGGGGACTCCAGCCCTGCCCTGGGCAGCCTGGGCCAGGGCCTGACAACCCTGGCCAGCAAGAAATGCTGCCCAACATCCCATCTCAGCCTCCCCTGGCACCACTGCAGCCCATTTCCTCTTGTCCCATCCCTTGTTCCTGGGCAGCAGAGCCCAACCCCCCTGGCTCCAACCTCCTCTCAGGCAGCTGCAGAGCCAGAAGGTCTCCCCTCAGCCTCCTTTGCTCCAGCCTGGACACCCCCAGCTCCCTCAGCTGCTCCTCCTCACCCTTGTGCTCCAGACCCTGCCCCAGCTCCCTTGCCCTTCTCTGGACACGCTCCAGCCCCTCCATCTCCTTCTTGTCCTGAGGGGCCAGACCTGACCCCAGGATTCCAGGTGCTCCCTCCCCAGGGCCCAGCACAGGGGGACCAGCCCTGCCCTGCTCCTGCTGGACACACCAGTGCTGACACAAGCCAGGATGCTGGTGCCTTCTGGGCCACCTGGGCACACACTGGCTCATGTTCAGCTGCTCTCAACCAACACCCCAGGTCCTTTTCCTCTGGGCACTTTCCAGCCTCTCTTCCCCAAGCCTGGAGTGTTGCCTGGGGTTGGTGTGACCCAAGGGCAGGACCCAGCACTTGGCCTTGGAGAACCTCACACAATTGGCTCTATGGATCAATGGATCCAGCCTTTCAGGTCCCTCTGCAGAGAATTCCTACCCTCAGGCAGATCAACACTCCTGCTCAACTGGGTGTCATCTGCAGACCTACTGAGGGTGCCCTCAGTCCCCTCGTCTAGATTGTTGATATGGATTGCTGATAATTATCAACAGTAACAAGTCTGAAAAGCCTTTTAATTCAACCTAGACAATAAAGAAACAAGCCCTGTATTTTGAATCAACAGCATTCTGAACCAAAGTAAATAATCAAAAGACCCTTGTTGCTAAATTACTACAGGGAACTCCACATGCTGGGTGAATTTCACAGCAGCTGTGGTTCACTCAGAGCTGCAGGATGTTCTAGGAGGCTCTGTTACCTGTGTGGTGATTTTATATTGGCTCTTGCAGCCATTCCTCCCTTTACTGAGGAACACCAATATCACATAAAACCACATTATTGCCCTTCACTGACAGTACATGCTACCAAACAATCAAATAATTTTTGTGACAATTTCAATTGCATCCTCTTTAATTATTCCCCCACCATCACTTTCTCTGTTTGTTGCTATAGAAACAACCACTGGCATGAGGACTGCATGGAGAACATCAAAATAAAGTTGGTCAGTGCTGGAGACTTGCTTGCACCTGCTGCTTCTTTCTCTTGTCAGATACACTGACCCTTCCCAAGTATGAACTGGAAAAAAATATTGCCCTGGTTGCTAGTAGAATAATCATGACTATTATTTTTTTTTCCTATGGACCTCAATACTGAGAAGTAACCCTAAAAATGGAATCCATCCCCTTGTTCCCTAAGCAAGCTGCATGCCAGTAATTTCAGCTTCTCCTGAGGAAAACCAATGACAGGGATTAGCAAAAAAGAGCATGAATTATTTGTGAAGAGAAGAGCAGTTTCCTAATCCTCTTTTGAACGTTTCCTCTGAGCAACAGTCTAGCTTTATAAAAACTTCAGCAGCCAAGACAACTCCCGTAAAAACACCTCATCCTTAATTAAGCCCTATTTCTCTTCCCTTATTACTGTCCCAGCATCTTAAGGTGTCCTCCCTCACTCACCATGATAGTTTTCATCACTTTGTGTTTTTCTTCATCCATTGCAAGATGTCTTCTCCAGGAAAACAGTGTCATCACATGGTACAATGATCCCTGGACTTGCCTACCCTATTTTGCCACTGACTCAGACAGATTAATCCTCTCTGTGATGACTCAGTTTCTTTAGGCACCCTTTCATCAGAAGAGAAAGTTGTGCTAAACTCCTGTTTCAATTCCTACAAAAGATGGGCTGTATTATCAAATGCTTCTCAAACTTAAAAAAACACTGAGGCTGTTTGCCAAGCAGAAACTTGAAAAATAATAAAGCAAAACTTTGGCTGAAAGACCAAACAAAAGGAGAACTCTGCAATAGGTGCCTTCCTCACTAGGTCAAGTTGTTCTCTCTGTTATTCCACTTTAGTGCACCATGAGCCTAAGGATTCAGACATAAAGTCAGCTTCCTGTAGTTAAACAAAGCACTGAGGAACAGCTGAGATTATATTACTGTGGAGTAGATGAGGTAATTCAGGTTAATTTCACTATTTTTCACTTTGGTTGAGGCTACAGTCCCACAAGGATTAGAAAAACTCTGAATACTGTCTTTTTTTTTACCTAGAAAAGGCCTAGTGAGCAACTTAGGGAAGCTGCTGGGACTCAGGTGGCACATGGCAACTTTTCAATATCCAGGCCCTCTGCTGATTTCTCCTGGTATGAACACAGGTGTAAATCAAAGCAGAATTTCCTTACCGACAACAGCTTATAAAAGGAGAAGCTTCAGGCCTGTTGCCTTCAAGGAGTGTCTTTGTGCAAACCAGCCTGACAGAACCTATCAGAGGAGGAGGGGGGGAAAAAGGTCTCTTGCCTTTTAAGAGCTTCCTGGGCGCCTGGCACAGCTGAGTCTTCGATGTGAAGTGTGCCATTCAGATCCACCAAGACAGCTTTCAGAGCACGCCGAGCTGCCATCCTTCCCTTCCCCAGGGAAAAGGGCAAAGAAATGAAACAACAAACAACTGGTTAGCAGACAATGGGTAATAAAATCCAGGGACTCAGTTAAATACCTCATTTGTGCCAAGCCCGGTATCACTCAGAACATTACTAGCAGTCTGAAATGGGCCCCTTCAGACAAGAGAAATAAAAGGCAGAGTGTTTAAAAAAAAATACATAATTGATGGGGTGGTATTTTCCCAAAGACTCTATCTATGGAAATCAGGTGCTATTTGTTTTTTAAGTGCCTTTATTTTCTCGCGTCAAAAAAATCTCTCTAAACAGGGAAGAGGATCATTAGGTCTGGGATTGCTGGTTCAAGGCCTCAGGAAGCACATTTTGGCAAGTCCCACTGCCACCAAGTAAAAATAAATACAATAGGACTCAGCGGTGACACAGTGTTCTGACTATACAGCTAAATGCTCTGTGCCAAAGTGGCTACCATTGAGTTTATTTTTGTAAGCGAAGATCTGGGATGATCCACCCCATGAGAGAATTCCAGGTATCCCAGCTCTGAGGTTATTCAGTGATTGATTCTGCCTGTGTGCCAGGGTGGATTTAGCCAAGAAGCTCTCAGGCATTAAGGATACTCAGCACCCCAGTGGGTTACTCCCTCCTCTTGCAAAGGGGACAGTCAGGCAGCTTGTCTACAGCAAGTTTGTCACACAAACAGGTAGAGGAGACTCAGCCCAAAAGAGATGCCAGCATCCAAAGGCACTGCAGAAGAATACAGTGAGGTTATATCATAGAGTCATGGAATGGTTTGGAAGGGACCTTAAAGATCCTCTAGGTCCAACCCCCCTGCATGGGCAGGGACACCTCCCACCAGCCCAGGCTGCTCCAAGCCCCATCCAACCTGCCCTTCAACACTGCCAGGGATGGGGCAGCCACAGCTTCTCTGGGCAACCTGGGCCAGGCTCTCACCTCCCTCACACCAAAGAATTTCCTCCTCATGTCTCACCTCAATCTCCCCTCTTCCAGTTTCAATCCATTCCCCCTTGTCCCATCACTCCCTGCCCTTGTCCCAAGTCCCTCCCCAGCTTTCCTGGAGCCCCTTCAGGCACTGGAAGCTGCTCTAAGGTCTCCCTGGAGCCTTCTCTTCTCCAGCTGAACACCCCTACTGTCAGCCTCTTCTCACAGGAGAGCTGCTCTTTTTTGGGTCAGAAACAGCAGAGATAGCAGCTATTTCACAGAATGTATTTAAATCAGTTGAATCTCCATGTATTTGGAATCTTTCCACCACCCTCACACTAAAGAATTTCCTCCTAATGTCTAAGCTAAATCTCCCCTCTTCCAGTTTCAATCCATTCCCCATTGTCCTCTCACTACTAGATCTGTAAAATATCCCTTCCCAGCTTTCCTGTAGCCCCTTCAGACACTGGAAGAACAGGTACTTCCCCTTTTGTGTGCTGCAAGTGCTGTACTGTGCTCCACAAGGAATTCTGATGAGCTATTTCTTACCAAACGTCTAACATGGAAGCTTTTCTCCTGTTTTGTTAGACAATGATGCCTACCCAATCTGTCAACACTAGGAAGTCATCACAATTGTATGTTAAGCTGTTCTGGTTACAGACAGAACACATAACACGTCTGTAATTTTTAAAATCACCCAGAGCAGTCAATAATTAAGAAATAATGCCTTAATAAATTTACTTTTCTATCAGGACAGTTTTGTATTGGCAAATAGTTTTATCAGTAATCAAGATCATGGGAACTTGATGTCTTGGTACAAGACACAGGTGAGGTTGTACTTTCATTAATCCTTCTGATTGCCTGCAATAAAAATAACAATAATAATAAAAGCTGACAGTATGTCTGTTGCTACACAGGTTAAGTGTCTACAATACAAAACTGAACTCCTCAGGGAGCTCCATCAATTGCCTGGGTAATAGAAGGCACCAGGTTTCTAAGACATCTCTGAGAAAAATATTTACTGCAGACAAAGTGCCTGAACAGAAAGGAATCTGCATGACTCCACACTATCTCCATGACAAAAAAACCCCCACAACCTCTCTTCCCTCAGGCATTTCCACTCTGGCACAGGGAATTTTGAGTGCTGAGATTAAAAAAGAGGACTGAAGAAGGTGCTATTATCTAAATTCCCCAGCAGAGCAACTGCACCACGTGTGCACAGATAGCCCAGCTAAGGACAGAGACAGAATACCCTAGTTTAGCAGAAATGGTGGTGGTTTTTAAATTTATTTCACTCCTCTTTCGTCCCAGATCTCCATTGCTTCTCCTAATGACAGTGCATTTATTCAGCCAGTATGGAAGCTTTTTGCAGAGCCCAATTTCAAGTGTTAAGCTCATGCTTTAAGTGTTAAGCTTCCTAGCAAGGAAGTCCAAAAGAAAAACACAAACTGCAGCACTGGAAAACGACTCAGAAATGCAGAATGCCGTGGTTGTTTTGTGTCAGGTGTACTCTGCACGTACACACAAGTTAAAACTGTAGCCAGAGAGGGACACAACCAGAGCACGAGCAAGCACAGCCTGGAAGGACCAGGCCTGGAAGGAACAACCAGTGAAGCCGGCGCTTTGTGCACAGCCCTGAGCTGGGGAGAAGGGCCTGCTGGGCCTCAGGAAGGCAGGAGGTGACAAAACAGAACTAAATCCAGGGCATTCGGCGTTACAGAACGTGCCTACAGGGTCCTTTTTGGCGACCTTAGGTCCTTACCC